ACGCCCACTATTGCTTGGGTTTGTAAACTGCGGGATAACAGGCTTTGCGTACTTAGATCTCAAATGACAGCGTATCAGAGGATCCCTGACTCAGAGAAAGGCTGGACAGGCCTTAACAGGAGCTGGCCTATTTAGATTTAACTGCTAGTTAAGTACTGGTCTCACCGACCAGTAGCCATGGTTGTGACCCTCAGTTGCATACATTCAGCTCCATTTTCATCTATTTCTAAAACGCAAAGCTGACTGCAGCTCTATCAAGGGATAGTTTTGATTTAAGAAACAAAGACGTAAGAATGCGTGATTTGGTTAATTAACCTCCTCATCTTTGGAGCTGTGAAAGCCAAAACCCCAAATCCCTCCAGCTGAGACCAAGCGAGGCAAATTCTCTCATTATGGGTTCTACAACAGTAAAATACAGCATTTTTATCCCTAGCTAGTAAGATGATTTGAACTATCTGCTTATGAATAACCTGATCATGCCAGCTATTTACCCAGCCAGGAGGCAGAGATAAGGAAAATCATATTTTCTACAGGAAGAGTTCTCATCTCCTTCTGTTGAGCTGATAAGTTTTACCATAGATTGAGGGGCCAGAGATATTTTAAAGGCAGAAAGAAGACTCCTTTCTTTCTGCACCATCACTGAATGGGAACACTGTTTAAGGAAAACCACCTACTCTCTGTACAGACATGTCCCACGCCAAAGTTAAGCCAACACCTCTCCTGTTAGCACTCTCAAGAGAGCTCAGGCCAAGCAGTGCCAGGTACCACAGGTATTTAGTGGGACAATCTTCTACTACCAGTCAAAGACCCATTTCATCACCGAGGAGAAAAGACTGGCCCCTCTTTCTTCAGGAGTGCAACAGAAAGTGGAAGATTTTGACAAACACAATGTTGATCTAGAGATCATCCCAGGTACCAGGCAATCATATACATATGTGCAAGCCTTAACAACTATTTGGCCTGACCTATGGCAATATAGTCCCTACATGACTCAAAGCTAAACCTGTGCCCGTTTCAAACATCTCCTTTCAGGTTTTGTCTGATTCCTTGTATCAGTTTAGCCAGAGAGGCTGCCATGCAGTACATATGTTACTTTACACGGCTCTGACAGCATCTCTTATCTTTTTGCCCTCTCCTTTCTAATCCTAGCACCCAAGGCAAACAGCCACTCTTGCAGTTTGAAAGCCTAGCACAAAGCCCAATAGCACACATTGTTGCTCGCATGCTCCAGGGACACAGATATTCGTTTTTGGGGAGTATTCATCCCTCCCAAGTACTTTTTCCTCTTTGACCTCAAGCAGTCTTAGTGCCTTTGCAAGAGTGCTAGCTGCTGACCACGTAAGCAATGGCAACACTTAGGGACTTCATCCATGACAAGCCAGGGAAAGCTGAAGGTGCTCGTTTTCCTAGGAAAAGAAACACAGCACAACTGGGTTTACAGCACCATCGCCAAGCACACAGCCAGAAGCACGGGCTCAAAGCCAAGGGCTTTCTGTAGCCGCGTGAAACCTCCAAGGACACTAATCACTTCCCTGATAGCAGCTGTACCACCACTCCTTTTTACAGAGAAGTCAACAGAAGGCAATTGAGCACTGACCTAGACTCACGGATGATTTACAGCCAGGAGGAGACCCCCATGTCAGTGGCTGGGACACCTCGGAGGATGGCTCCAGACCTTGTGCTCTGAGCCTACAACCAAGTTCGAGCACACCTCTTGTCACTGGGAGGAGGATATAGATGCCGTCAGGAATGGAGAGATTCTGTGCATTGGCTCGGCAGTCCTCCCCACGGCTCCCCGGCCCTCAGATCAGCCGCAGAGCTGCTCCTGATGTCAGTCAGGAAGCACAGGTTTTGAAACAGCTTGTGTCCATGTTGCCATACCCAGTGAGCTGCCTTGCTAGTTGGCTCTGAACAGACGGGCTTTCAGCAAACACACTAGTCCTTTTCGCCTCCTGCCAAAAATGCCAGCAGCCAAGATGTATATGTCAGCTTTCTGGCGCTCACAAGCTTTAGGAAACAAGGATTGAGGTTCAGTAATCATGTTTTAAGCATGGAGGGGCTACCCCTGCAATGGTAGCACTAGCAGCTGGTCTGCAGTTTAAAGCTGCTCAGCTGAGAAGTAGTCAAAGACTCGCTATTGCTCAAACTCTGTCCTTGCCCAGTGAGACCCTCACAGCAGTGTCCTGCCTCCACAGTTTGAGGGTTAAATCAACACGGATTGGAGCAGTGGCTAAAGATCTTCTGGGAATCGTTTTCACCAGCCCATACTTCAGGCACCCTCTGCCGGAACACCCCATGGGCTGGGGAGGACACAGGGAGGACGGTGACCACTCAGCAGGACTGCCAGGAAGTCCTTGCCCAGTGAGACCCTCACAGCAGTGTCCTGCCTCCACAGTTTGAGGGTTAAATCAACACGGATTGGAGCAGTGGCTAAAGATCTTCTGGGAATCGTTTTCACCAGCCCATACTTCAGGCACCCTCTGCCGGAACACCCCATGGGCTGGGGAGGACACAGGGAGGACGGTGACCACTCAGCAGGACTGCCAGGAATGCCCAACACACGTGGGTGATCGCAAAAGCGCTGGGCTGTGGCCACTCGTCCCTTGGGGCTGCAGCGGCTCCGTATGAGCCCTCTGCTTACTCTGATCTTGACTCTGCTACTTGCCCTCTTTCTCCAAGTGTCTTGGGAATAAGATTTGACCAAAATCATACAAAATGGGAGGCTACCTTCTTCCTTCTCGCCTTGCACACCCCCCCCGCCCGCTATCAGCTTCTTCCTCCCTTACTGTTAACTCTAAAAAACAAGAGCAGAGCTGCAGGAAAGGAAAATCGATCTTTTTGAGAGAGGAGGGGGAACAGTCTGCCTTGTGCAATGGCCGAGATGGAGCGGAGCGTTCAGGAGCGACACAGGGACACCCTCAGCTAAACCCTGAGCACGAGGCCTCCCTCCGGTTCTGTCAGCCAGCATCCATGACGTTATATAATCATGTACATGGCTGGCTCCAGAAATAGCTCCTCTGATCAGCAACACCCGAATATCCTTCCTGCCTGGGTCGCCAATAGGAGCTTGGGGCAGGAAGTAATGCAAGGCAATACGATTTAAGCAACGTGGCTTTGCTCATGCTGCTCGGGTGTCTCTGACAGTCACCCAGCCCAGCGCAGAAGAAAGGCAGGTCAGCACCGAAGGGAAAAACCTTCAGCCTGTGGGTTTTGCAGCCTTCACCCTGAAGGCTACACAGGGCTACGTGCATAGGTCTCGGTAGGATGCTGGAGACAGATGTTGCTGCGACATTAGAGGAAATCCTCCTTTTAAACAACGGTATTAGCACGCAGTTCTGTATCACGCTTTGCCAGCAAATTCCGCGCATCCACACATTTTAAAGGCGCAGTGCCTGCAAAGCACCATTCTAGAAATCCTAGCGTTTATCCAATAACTTACCCCAACACTTAATTTACCAGCCCAAGGAAAAGATACAAATGGACTAAACATCCTCTGCCAAAGCCGTGAGATTCACCCCTGGTGCCACCCCTTGTTTCAGGGTGAGGCAGGAATAATTCATCAGCCTGCTATCGTTGCCCTTCCTCTGAAAGCCAAGTCATGTGGAAACAGGGGGAAACAAGCCGGCTTTGCATTCATTCCCTTTCTTTTGTGCACAGCAAGTCTCAGACATCCCATGCTCCTGTCTCAAGTCCATTTTCCACAGGAGGATTTCTCTGAGAGCTGAGAAGCTCGGCCCTTGAAGTTCAGCACAGAAAGTGGGACCTAAAGCAGAGCTGTTTTTTCTTTCCAGTGCTTTGATTAAATATTAGCCAAACCCAAGCAAAATAAAGCTTTAAGAAGATGGAACAAAAGTCTAAACAGTCTCTCCACTCATCATGGGACATCTATTTATTTTTCAGGCATCCACAGCATCTTTCAGGCAACAAGATATTTCCTATGTAAATAGGCAGCAAGCACATCGCCTACTTTCCGTGTTCATTTCTTTTTAAACGTTCACGTATTTTGTAACTGGGAACATCATGGAAAGAGTTCTTTTCCAAGCCTCTTTTAAAAATGGGTAATTAAGGGACTACAAATTTCAAGAACTGCCCAGAGGTGCAACGAATCCACATTCATTTCTTCCTTCACCTCAGTGCAGTTTGCAGTCCTCAGTCACTGCTTCTTGAGGGCAATCACAAGATTCTGGAAAAGGAAACAATCCCCCCCAAAAAGTAAAAATATCTCACCAACAGTATGCTTTCCATAGAGAAGCTGCTCCAAAATTGCGGTCTTTCCCACCGAGGCCATTCCACAAACCACCACCTTGTAGCCCTTTCCCATCCTTCCTGAGAGGGCAGAGTCGGCAGGCGAGCCCTGTGCCGACACAGGAGTCTGTTAGCCTGGCGCGGTGGCGGGGCTCGGCACCAGAGAGAAGCAAAGCCCCCGAAAGGCGAGAGGCAAAACGCGAAGCGGTGGGTGACTCGGAGGCACAGCTCCCTCCCAGGCGCTCACCAGCGACAGTTATTTTTAGGACTAGAGTTTCCTCCCACACTATTTTTTAACGTTTTAGGCTGCTGCCATCGGTGCTGATGCTTGCCTGCAGCCTTGACACTCGTCCCGTCGGGCTCTGGGAGACTGCGAGCGCTGAAGGGTGTAAACCCTCTGGGGCCGGGGCTGTGCTTGCCGGCGTGCGTGTACACCGCAAGACTCGCATTATCAGGGCTTCGTGTTTTTGCTGCGGGCCTGGTGGTACCTGGTGGTATCCGGATGGCTCCTGGAAACGCGACAAACAGCGGTTCCTCCCCTTTCACTTCACGCACAGAAAGCTTCTCACTTTTACAGATTAGGAGTTAGAGAATTGGAGTGCTAAAGGCAGAGTCACGGGAAAGCAAATGCAAAGGCAGGTTTTTTGGCCTGTTTTAGATCGGTTTGGGTGGGTGGGGGTTGGTTTTTGGCAGTCCCCCCTGCCAGTGAGCCGTGGCCGGGCAGCAGGCCCTAACTCTCAGGTCGCCGTGGGGAGCGGCCCGCCGGAGCGCAAGGGTTAACCATAACTCCTTCGGGACCACGAGGAGCTGCCGCTGTCCCGCTTCGATGCCATCGATTCCAGTTTAACCGGGTAACGCTTCGCAAGCCAGGGTGCTCTGCAAAGCAGACGCTGAAACACGAAAAGGTGACCCGGTAGCCACGGGGGAGGCAGGGGAAGCCTAATTCCTGTTTGGATTCCCTGGGGCAGGGCCACACATCTCCACAGCAGCACAACTGAGGATGCTGCTGGGAGCCAGAGAGGGGGACAAAAAGCCTCCTCAGCACCAGGCCCTGTCCTTGCTCCTGCAAATCCACCTCTGCGGGTGCTGGGCAGGGGGAGGAGGGGTGCGGGGGGGAGGCACAGAAATGGGGCTCCATGCCTGCCCCCAAGGCTTTAGGGTTGGTTTTAGGGCTTTTTTTTCCCCCTTAAGATTTAGTTTCATTTTATGATTTTTTTATCACTATTTTTAGGATTTTTTAAAGGGTTCTTTTCAGGATTTCTTTTAAAGTACTTTTTCTTTTTTACGTCAGCCCCCACTCCGCCCCAGTCCCTAGCT